GTTGCCATTGATCGCTTTCAAATCATTGAGTTTGTTACTCAAAAATTCGTTAAAGTTTTACAAAATATTGAAATCAATAATAAAACAAATTCCAAATTTCAAATTTGGGCTTCCGCATGTCCATATTCGCAGTAGGATTACATCATTCAAAATTCGATGGCTTTATGTACCGTTGGTTTATCACAATGCGAGAAATAGCCATACATTTAATGCAGTTTTTTCATTAGTTCATTTCTTCAAACATAATGCAGGACTCTAACATTGGGCGGCAATAGTTTGAAAAGTGAAAGGGACATTTATAGTGATTCAACGCAAAATCGCAAAACGAAAACGATAGTCCTTCAGGGACGAAACCCCTTTTGGACTGAAAAGCTGAAAGTCTTTCAACAACAACAGCGCTCATTTCATCTGTAAACTTGACAGTTTCACCTGTAAACTTGGACATCTCCTTCTGAAATGTTTCAGACAGCATATAATAGTGTGGTTTTTTAAGCATGTTAATAAAATCAAGCTCTCAATTGCAAAAGACATGCTCCTGCGTTCGTGCGACATGTACAAAAACTTTACTTGTGAATGCGGCTTTGCGTACATATCATAAAACAGCAAATTTTTAAATTTCAAAATGTCGGTATGTTAAGCAAACGAAAATGAAAAGATCTTCCATAGTAAACCACCGTTGAGATAAAAAAAAAAAAAAAAAAACACAGTTGTTCCTAAGAAGCTTCCGAAATTTCCCTGCTTAGCAATCTTGTAAACGACTTAGCTTCCCCTCCGTCCTTGTTGGAGAACTGAAAAAAGCTATACAGAACCTCACTTCGTTTTTTTTTTATACCAAAAACACCCGCGTCCTCATGAGGCATCGAAACTTCTACAATTCAGCATATAACAACAACTCTTTGTCAAAGAAAGTTGAAATGAGCTCCTTCGAAACTACATTTAGTGATAATGTTTTAACCCCCCTCCGAATATGTACTAATTTTTTCATTTAAACACTCTTTAACTGTTGTTATTCAAATCACCGTAACGATTTTCGTATTTATGAGAGAGAGATCTTTGAAATAATATGATAATTTACGTACACTATTAAATGAAAATTTTTTAAATATCTCTTAAGACTATTAAGGAAATTTTAATAAGGATATTGTCTACGGGTTCGTGAATTTGGAGTAATTGATGATAACACTTGATGAAGAATCAAAACACAATTTATTCGCCAGTATGGACACAGGACATTTCCAAGGACACATTTACCATCGTCGAAAAACACGATAAATACGCTGAAACAATCAAGAATACAGCTTTCAGGCTATAACGGTGAAGACAGCTTCATGGCAAAACACTAAGGTACAGCTCCCGACTCGGTGGATGGCTCTCAAGCTAATCTCTGAACTCGGGATACTAATGAACCCGATATACTACTATTAATTCAGAGTATTTATAGCTTTTAACCTACCTTCGAGAACATTCTCGAGAAAAATCGCTAAGCGTGCTTTCTAGAAATCGCTCCGTCTATGGCATATCGTCGCCAAATGGGCGAGTTCGCCCTACACTTGGCAACCCTGCCTATTCCTACCACTTTTGGGTAACCCAACCTCGCTTTACGGGGAAGCTATCTTACCGCAGCTGGGTATTTCGCAGCAGTATTTGTTGGGTTTGGTTTATTTGATTACGGCAAGCCACACGAGAGCTATTTGCCTAAGGGGAGGAATGTCTTCGTGGAGGACGTTCAACAGAAACTGACTCGTATATACGTTACTCATGGAAAAAACCACGAAAACCTCTATGCAGCTAGCCCGTTTACGGGATTCGAACCTCGGACCGAGCTACCAGTGTTCAGCGATTTTACCGCTCGACAGCTGGTGCTCCGCAACAGTATAGTGAAGGCAAAATCTGAAAGCAAAATTTTATTCTGTGTATTTCACTTAATTCAATATTCTGTTTGAAATTACCACATTACTCCGTGCGCGCTATCATGGTGCAAGTGCTAAGTGGTACAAGCTAGCAAGCTTATACTGCGAGCAGTACATCAAGCTAGCATTTAGAAGACACATGTACCAATTCCTAGTAATTAATTTTTCACGTTTTCGCCCCGATAAACCTAATGGTATCAAAGGGTAATTTAAAGTGCTAATAATAATGATGAACGTATACGTACTGTCAAGTCACTGAGATGATTTTAACGAGACTTAATAAAATCCTGACTTAATAAATCAGAATTACATTCTGAATATTTTACTTGATTAATTATGCTATGTAGTGCAACCTTATAATATTTTTGAATTCATTTTCATAAAACAAAAATTAATTTATGCTCGAAATACTTTTTCCATCTTATGATATTAATCTTTAGCTATAAAGGAAAGTTTTATCTTTCATTAAAATGAGCTTATAAACTCCTAGAAGTGCTTTTAAACAACTTTGAAAGAAACGCTTCTTTTATCTAAATCAGGATTTTCGCTTAGAAAACACACGGAAGTTTTTATAATCCAAAAAAATGTGTTCGTTGTTCCGGTGGCACTAATTGACAGGAACTCCGATGTACTTACTGATTAAAATGTGGATTACAAGTTAATATTAAGTATTAAAACGTTAATTTCGATTCATAAAAATATTAGGTAAAAAGCAGCAGCGCGTCTTAAACTTTTTGACGTGCAAGTAGGATTATTTTTCATTTATTTTCTTCATTGGAGAGTTTTATTTTTGAGCTTCGAAAATTTTTACTTTAGGGTTGAGTAATTTCATCTTTTGTGTTACTCTTAAGATTTTTCTTAATGTCTTATAACATCCATGTACATCTTGACAATTATATAAAACATTTTGGGCGGGGAAGTCTGTGAATAGTACTTTATAACATAGAATAATATTCAATATAAACATATTTCTGTGAATTATATTTGTGTTTTTTCAAAGTAAAAATTTAAAATGATCTCAGAATTCATTTTTACGAGAGCGTAGTAAGCGATTAATGTATGGCACGTTTTAATTTTGCCCCCAACCGGTATAGAGGTTAGCGTGCTGTGCCGAAGACCATGTTTACGCTCTTTCGGAAGAAAATTATTCGTATTTAGTTATTAAAAAATGCTGTAAAAGCCATGATTTTTCGGTATCTAAAGCAACGATAGATAATATTGTTAATAAGAAAGAAAAAAAGCGACAAAGTTTGGCATCAAAGAAAAAAAATTTTCAAAATGCATATCCAAGTTGCCTTGGAAAACAGAATGTCGTCCACGACATATCGTCCAAAGCAGAACGCGCTGCAGAATTCGTTATAAAAAACAATTGTTCGGACAAAACTCGAAAACTTTTGCCACAATAGATGAATCTTATGTGGATTTAAATAACCGCAATAAAAGGAGCTCCATTTATTGTCATCAAAGAGAAGAAAAATTCTTAGAACATGATTCAAAGGATGTAATGAAAGTTTTTCAAAGGGATTGTTGCTGGTTTTTTGATATAACGCCACGTAAAAATTAAAGAGAATGCAGAAAACTGTTACGATCAACTCCATATATTATCAGGAACATATTTTATACCCAATTTTCAAACCTGAAGTACCTTCTTCTTATCCACAGTGCCATCAATCAGATTGTTGTAGAACTGCAACAAGACAAAGAAAGCAGCCACAAGTAAAAATCAACCGTAAATTTCTGGAAAAAATGGAAGAAGCAACAGGTATCAAGTCCATCATACCCTTCACTCATATCTCTACTAAATCTTTTGCTGTATCATTCACGGACTTTTGCGCTTTTGAACTTTTATAAAGCGAATTGTCCAAGCGTCCACCTACAACCTTCCTTGGACTTTAGAAAACTGTTAATGAGGAATGGGATAAAATAATCTCTTTCGATACCAAAAAAAAAAGCTTTATTGTCATTGAAATTACGGTGTAGAAAGATAGTGAAGAATAAGGGCTATCAAACGGAACATTTAAAAGAGAAAATTTTTAGGCAAAACATTTCTGTAAATACAATGAAAATCGTCTTTAAAAATTGTGAAGACATTAAGTATTCTTTTGAAAGCGGGAGAGACGAAAAATGAGCACTGTTCTCGCCAAAACTCGAACCATGGACCTCTCGAATACGCGCTGACCGTGCTGACCATTATACGACGAATGCATGTTAAGAAAGCGGGATAAATACCTTATATACTCTCCCTTTTAAAAGGCGACTGGGTATTAGGGGACTCAATCGCCAAATCCTGGTGGTGGAGAATCATCATCCACCACCTGTTTTAGTTCGGGCACCACTGTAGAGGATTTAGGATTATTTTGAAGGAAAGATGAAAAATGAGCAATGCCCTCGTCCGGACTCGAACCACGGACTTCTCGAATACTCGCTGACCGTTATACCAGTAAGGCATGTTAAGAAGGTGGCAGAAATACCTTATAAAATGTGCAAACAGCGTCTGTACGTTAAATTCAGCTATCAGCTTAGTTTCAAAAATTGCTAAAACATGGATACTCAGTGTCAGTGTGTTCCAGAGGAATGATAGGCGAGAAAATATTATCGATCCCCCCCCCTCAATGGCGGGCTTCAGCCGTTTATAGGCGTTGACCACTACTAAGGCTGGAAGCGGTGGTTTCTTTATTATGGAGCCAACTTATAGGTGGGCTACCGGTACCTTCTAACGGACAAATTACATCCGTGCCTTTTCCAGGATTCGATCCCGAGCCCTTCTGTACGGCAGTCAATATCACTAACCGCTCCTGTCTGTTCGGAATATATTTGAAGAAATTTATGATATTAATTGAATTCTAATTTACCATCTTATTTTATAACAAGTGTTTCGCTTCACCTAGTAGCTTCAAATAAATGTCACTTTTTTATCTAAAAATTCACTTTATACTTCTTATGAATTGTTCTTTCATTTTTTATAAAGTTGGCTGCTATACCAGTACTGTAATCTGTAATTTCAATCCTTCTGTATAATGTACGTAAACATCTTTACGAATCTATCCTAAATGCTTCCTATATAATTTATATTGCTTCTTACTTTTCTAGGTGGTCCCAGCGAAGGTAAACTCCTCCCAGGAGACCAGATCCTCCAGATAAATGGTGAAGACGTCATGAAGTCTCCTAGGGAAAGGGTCATCGAATTAGTCAGGTAATTAATTGCTAAAAACCACTAAGCCCCTACACTCACTTCCTTCCCCCTCCGAACAAATAATCAGTATTTGTCAGTTGCTTAGAAGAAAAGCTGTAGTAAAACGAGTTACGTTTGTTTTGGGGTTCCTTTAAACAAAACCTTTCGCCAATGCGGTGATTATTGGAATTCATTTAGGCTAAAAATAAAAAGAACTTTCTAGAGAGGAGATAATGAGGGATGTGTTGATTCGTCCTTAGTTCCGTATGTTCCGATAGTTCAATCCGGGTGTAAGATTTCTAGGAAATTAGTTGAATGCAATAATAGCATTACTCTTGTCTAAAGCAAAAGCATTTGTAGCTTCTTTTTGCTTTTTTCTTAACTACTCAGTCCTACTGTGCTTGTGTATTGTTGCAAATATATGAAAATATTTTTATTTATTTGGCTGCATTTTGATTTTAATGTATTTTTACAGTGTCATGCTTGTATTATTTTTATTCATTTATTTGCTTCTTCAATGCATTTCATGCAATAATTCCATTGTGGGTTTTTGCTTATTTGAATTTGTGACCACTTATTTGGCTGTTCATTTCGTGCATTGCGTTGTCGATCTTGTAATTTCGAACCGATGAATGTTTGAATTGTGAACATAGCTTAGTCAAAAGCTGATATATACGCAAAAATTTATACTAAAGCTTAGTCAATTTTGTTAGCCAATTTAACGACGTTTGGCAGTCTCTCGCGAATCTTGCGATATTCTGGAAATTTCCAGAAAACTCATTTTCAAAGTCCTAGGTGTGATTTTTCTCGCTGCTTCGGGAAATAATTTTTATGACACCATTTGCAGTTCTAACTAGAATAGTTGTTATGTTCAGAATTACTAACAGTCATAAATGAAAACTTAGAGATTACTATTGATAATTATGTTCGTAGAAATATCTATACAATTGCCAGTGTTTATGTGTTCTTGCTCAAGTCAGTGAAATACTTGTTGCTGATGTTTGAGAATGTACATAAGAAGAACCCGTGCTAGAAAAATGGAGAGCTATATATTGAAAAAGGATGCTTAAAAAATGAAAAAGTAACCAGAAAGCGTTATATGTGAAGAAAATGTATAAGTTTCTATTAAATCACACTGGATCAAAAGAATAATATTGTTACGAAATTGTATAGGCGCGGTGAGATGGCTTCCCCGCAAAGCAGTTTTAGGGTTGCCATAAAATTGGCAAGAGAAGAGCAGGAGTGCCACATTTGATGAGAAATCCGCCCATTTGGCGACAAAATTGGTGATATACCATGGACGTTTGGAGAACCTTCTGGAACGAATTTTTACCGGATTAGCCCATAATGTTCCTCAAACACAAGCCGAAAACTATATAAATCCTGCTGGTCCGCAGTCAGTTAGAATGTGCTTCGTCGATAAGACGAGTGTGTGTGCCTCGTCTAGAGTGCGAGATAGTTAGTCTCGAGTTAGTCAGTCCCTCCGGAGTGGATCGAGTTGACAGCCGGGCAGCGAGTCCCGAGTGGGTCGTCGATTGCACCGAAGGAGTCTGTTAGTGTATCGTCGAGAGAGCGCGTTGAGCTCCGGGAAGCGACTGAACTAAAGAGTCGGGAGCCTGTGCTCGTGTGTCGTCGAGTGCATCGCGATTAGTAGCGTGGAGAGTGTCGAGAGTGCGTGGAATTCCGAGAACGACCGAGCAGAATCGGGAGCTCCACTCTGGTGCTTTGCCGTGAAGCTGTCTTCACCGTGATAGCCTGGAGGCTGTGTCGCTGATCGTGTCAGCGTGTTTATAGTAGTTCATCGACGACTGTAAAAACGTGTTTTGGAGCTGTCCTGACAATACTGGCCAATAAAGTGTGTTTCGATACTTCATCAAGTGTCGTCGTTATTCACTCCAAATCCACACGAACCCCGTACGAACGTGAAGGAAGAATATAAAGTAACAACTGGTGGCAGAAAAGAAAAAAAGTGCGTTTCCTAATGTAATGTGATTGAGAACATATTACATTAATAAGAATTAAATGTAAAGACAGCACGCTCGTTATGAAGACGAGCTTTCATTATGAAGCAATTAAATGTATTAGCTTCAATGTTTTTGTGTTCAATCAAGTGCTGGTTTCGTTTTTGTGTTGAATGACTTTTGAAATAAAAAGATGCTGCTACCAAATGTTTTTGCTATTTACTATTTTTAAAGTACAATATAGTGAATATAAATAATATGCCGAATGTAAAAAGAAATCTGTGGCAACGCTAAACACTCAGCCAGGAATTCTAAAGATGTTTTTAAAAATTTCTTGATTGTTAAGTCATTGATTTTTTAATCCAAACTGTATATCACCAGAGGATATGCTACGTTGGTTGCGATATTTTCAAATGAAAGCAAACAAAACGGATTGTTCGTGGGCAGGTATAGTTACCATTGTCATTTGTACGGAAGAATAAAATAATAAAAAATGATTAGTGTATATAATAAACACTGAACCATAAAGTTTATAAACAAATTTGATTTTACTTGACAAACGATCAACCGAAAGTGATAGTTTACTTACAGCTCGTTGCTATTCTGCCAAATATCTCAGAAGGTAGTGTGTTGGCCACATCCTATTTTTTACATTTGTTTTGCGTATTTTAAGCCATGGTTTGACATCTATCTAAAAATCTATGTTTGACCATGAGCGGATATCTGCTAACTGCTGTCCAGATGCTAAAACCTTTAAAAATTCCAGATTTACGAGATACATTCTTACAGACGTTAAATATTCCATCGCGGAATCGCAGCTTTTGCTAATTTTATTTCCTGCAACGATTTCCGTGGCTATAAAAACTCATATATTCAGCTACGTCTATTCGAAAATAGCTTACTTTTGGTTTTTATACGTATGGACTAGGAAAGGTGCGTCAGCGTTATATGCGTCAAAAGCATAAAACATGGCAGTCCGGTATAATGGTCAGCTTGTAACTGTTTTTATAAGGAAATTTATTAATTTTTTATAAAAACAAAAGCATGTCTGTACTACAGAAGGTATTTTACACATTTAAACAACGATTTCGATTAAGAATCATAGCTTTCGAGTTTCGGAAAAATAGGAGACGGGGAATGATCTTCTTTTAATGGTGAAAAGGCGTGCTTCGGGCTAAACAGGCAGAAAACCACTGGTCTAGAAATTTTACACAGTTTAATTGAAGTATGAATAGACTGTAACCGTATAGTGTAACGAAATGTAATAACGTTTTATAGCAAAAAAAAGCAAGCTTGTAGAGTCGTTAGGCTATTTTGAAGCAGGAGACGTGGAAAATGTTCAGTGCCCTCGCCGGGACTTGAACCCTATACCTCTCGAATACGCTTCGAGTATGTTTCCAGTTACACAACAAAAGCATGCGGAAAGGAGGGATAAAATACCTTATAAGTGTGCAAATGAATTCTTCTCAAACGTTTGCCTTTATATGAAGACCCGTCACAACATCACAAAGAGTGTTTACATAATTTTGGAACCATTTAGATAAAGAGTTAAAGAAAAGCAAATGCTTTGGAAGGAATATTCCTGGCAGCGTAAATAGAAATACGTTTGCTCCTTTTTCATTTGATTCTTCTTTCAAAATGTCGCATGTAAATAAGCTCGGGATTGAAGGATAAGTTTCTGCGCTTTTCGAAGAGAAATATTCCTATTCCAAAATTCAAAAACATCGTAAAATGTATAGTATTAAAATTTCTGAGCCCTAAATAAGCACCATTATCAATCGGAAAGAGAAAAACCGTACCTCTTGCATGGAAAGAAGGCTTCAAATTAATACCCGAAAAAGTTGTGCACTGTTTCTGATGTTTCTAAAGTTAAATCACTCGGGGTATGAGAAAATCGGCCGATGCAGAAATCAATTTCAAAATCTTGTAATCTTTAGCAATAATCGATACATAATAGTAACTACGATTTACAACTTAAAAAAGTAAAACATATATTGTTCACCAGCTTTTGCAAAGACGGCGCTCAACGCAGAATGATTTGTAGAACCTCGTATGAAAACGTTGTAGTTGAAGATTAATGGAAATATATTGTGACACTTGATGAAGCATAAGTGTACTTAAATCACGGCAACAAAAAAAAAAAAAAAAAAAAAAAAAAAAAAAAAAAAAGATCTATTTATTATTGAAACCGACGAGAAACCTGTTTCGTCCATTCAAAGAAAGTTTCAGTAAAAGGTTTATGAGTGACGCCAGGATTTGCTTACAGTGGGAAATAAAAAAACAAGAAAAGCGGAAAAAAGTGATAAAATCAACTCAACGTATTATGAAAAGAACGTTTGAAGTCCGGTATTTCCACCACTTTATCCCAATGACTTTCAGAGTGTGTAACTTCATGAAGACAATTGAAAAAATTAAGACTAATATATGTATTCCATATATGCCCCTTCAACGTTGTTCTGTGAACTCCCCTGATGTTTCACCTGCAGAATCTGCCTTTGGTCTCTCGAAAAGAGATCCTTCTAAGTGCAAAACACCACGCTGGATGGGTTCTTGAAAATAGGAGAAATCGATAAGCAAAGAAATTTTTCGAAAAGAAATTCTGTCACGGAAATCATACTACAGACGTATAGTCCAGAAAATTTAATCTAACCTTTATTTAATTACGGCCTAACCTAACCATTATGTAATTTTTGCAGTTGCTATCTAATATCCTTTTAATATATCTTTGTTGTATCTTGCTAATATATCTAAAATCACCCAGAAACAAAGGTAGGATTTCATGACGTTTCTGTTACTTCCTTTCAATAAAAGTATGTAAGAAGTCCTTCCAATAAAAATATGTAATTCTTGGAATTACATTGAAAAGATTTTTTTGTCTCCGTTATGATTATGTGAATATTTTTATGAGCCACATGGGATGCCTGAACACATTCGAAATCGTTCGCAGGATTTTCTATCCCATTTTTCTTTTTTGAAACTAGTATTAATTTCGATGTATACTTGAAAATGGTACAAGATCTTTTTGTTGTTCCCCTCAAGTCGAATTCGAGTCGGAAGGCTCTTAAGTTCTTCGGTCTACTTTCAAAAACAGCACCAGATGATTTGGAGAAACATGTGTCAAACGAGTACAGTTGAAATGGGAGACATTAAAGGAAATGGAAGAGTTACAGATGTGTTTTAAGCAAAAGCACAGCCTCAATCCGCGAAACATCTATATACAAAATCAATACTACGGAGATGGAAGACAGTGAGTTGCAAAAATTCTTTCTACACCACCGCCACTTCAGTTTTCGAAACATATGTACGACGAGTATAATGGAAATAAAAGAGAGTGAGATACAGATGTACATTCAGCAAGCGAACCACCTCAACGTGCGAAATACGTGCAAGACGAGTACCATGGAAATGGAGGGCAGTCAGTGACAGATGTGCCTTCAGCAAGATGAGTACCATGGAAATAGAAGACAATGGGTTGCAAATGTGCCTTCAGCAAGGGGACCACCTCAACCTGTGAAACACGTCCAAGACCACTACCATGGAAATAGATGACAGTGAGTTGCAGATGTGCTTTCAACAACAGCACTATCTCAGTTTTCGAAACATGTCTAAGACGAATACGATGGAACTCGAAGGCAATGAGCTACATATCTGCTTTTAGTAAGAGCACCACCTCAGTTTGCGATACATGTGCAAGACGAGTACGATGGAAATGGAAAATAATTTGTTACATGTCTGTTTTCTGCAAGAGCGCAGTCTGACTCAAGAGCGCAGTTCGCCAATTCCCCCATTGAGAGAAATGGACTATCCAAGACGTTATGCTCTTATTTTATTGGACTATTAATAAAAAATCTTTTAATCTGCTATACATTATCACATGAGGGTTATGGGGGAAAACACTGTTAACCTTGATCACCTCAAGAAGGTTAGGAGGTATTTTCTCCCTACTTTCTGCATACCTTCGTGGTGTAACGGTAGCACACTCGGCGCGTATTCAGGAGGTCTAGGTTCGAGTACCGGCGACGATATTGCACATTTTTCACATCTCCTGCTTAAAATAACGTAATGTCTCTATAAGGTAATCGCACAACCAGTGTTCTTTCCAGATTATGAACAGAAACTGTAGGTTTCCATACTATCTGTTATTATAGCTGTTAGTGGTTTATATATTCAAACTTATTAATTTTGTTCGTAATCGGTTTGAGTGGCTAACTATAAGTAATGTCACATATCACATAAAAAACATTTGTGCAAATCATTTTTCTCCTAAAAATGTGGGCCACCAGCGGCCGAACTGTAAAGTCGCTGAACACTGGTAGTTCAGTCCGAGGTTCGAATCCCGCGAACGGGCTGGCTGCATGGGCGTTTTCGTGGTTTTCCGCATGTGGTAATATGTATACGAGCCAGTTTCCCTTAGAAAGATCCACGAAGGCATTCCTGCCCTTAAGCAGATAGCCCTCGAGGCTTTGCCACAATACACACACACACACACACACCTAAAAATGTGGGATTTGTGTTTGATCATTCTCGAAATCGGTATAATCTTATTCGAAATCTGAGGCAAATTAGGGATATGCGTTAGGTTGTCTAATTCAAAATTTATGCCGCCGTTACGCTTACGTCAAAATATACACCAGCACTTTGCTCTTTTACCTAAAAATTCAAGCGTGAGATATATTAAATATGTGATATGTTACCTAAAAATAACACTGCATTTAATTATTTTCCCTCTATCCTCCATATATTTTATACTTATCTTGTGTTATTTTATTTATTTATTTATTTATATATTTGCAATATATCTACTGGAAAATTATAAGATCTTAAATGTATTGCAATTTACTTTGATTGTTTTTGTAATTAAATAATATTATTACTTATTTGTAGGTCTTGTAAACATTCGGTGAAACTTCAGGTGTGCCAACCAATCACAAATAATGTAAGTATTGTTCTATGGAATGTAACGTGTCTCTCTACATTAAAGGTTCTTTATTTGTATATGCATCCGTTGCTTTATTATTAAAACAAAATACGGAATTCGTGTAAGCAGAGTTTCCTTAATATTCTAGTGAAAAATATTGTGGCATGCGTACGGTAATAGTTCGAATGCACAAGTCCGATAATATGTTAATAGAATTCATTCATATCAAATGAAATATAACAGAACGCTGGTTGTTTTCTTCAAACATAATCGTACAAGTGTTCACAATATCACGCAGTAGTAATCAGTAGTTATACTTCAAACTACTAAAAACGTTAAATAGCACGCACTTCACAGCGCATTTAAATTGAAAGCTAATTCGCCACTGCTGAGGCCAGAAGTGGTGATCATTTTACTATAGAGGAAGAAATGTTGGTCATTATGGAGACCAGAAGTGGTGGTCATTTTATTATTCATTTATTATTTATTTTGTTATTATTATTATTTATTTATTATAAATTAAATAGAATGCCAGAAGAACGTTATGTTGGTTATGAGCAGAGATTTATTTTGGCAGTGGTCTTTATGTGAGGCATTTCTGTATTAAAATAAATGCGTCTATGAAATTGAGTATTTCGTTCGCTGTTTAAATGATGAATGTGATAACACTTTTCATTTGTTTGTGCGGATGTCGCATCATATTTTTTATTCTTTTCAGACAACCAGAAAATCAGCTCTTCTAACGGCTGCAAAAAAAGCTAAATTAAAATCGAATCCTTCCAGAGTGAGGTTTGCGGAAGGTGTCGTTATCAATGGTTCTCCTCTCTATTGTGTAAGTATTTATTTTTATTTTATTAAGCAGTTTTTCCCATATCACGTATATGTGTATTGAAATGTGATTATTATCCATCGTGTCATTTCTATAAATATAGAAGAGGAATATCAAAACAGCTAATATCTCAAGTCATACGCGTCCGCAGAAGACTTTTCTGGAGAGGAGGAGAAAAGATAGGAAACAAATAATTACATCAATAAATATTTATTAAGTTATGGTAATTTTGGGGTTTAAAGTTGATTATTTAAAAATAGAGTGTTGCATCGATACGAAAACGTATTTTCACTCATTTCTAGAGGGGAAAGTGCCGAAGGAAATTTTAATTCAATAGTGCAAATATATATATATATTTCACTTTTGAATAAACTCATTTTTAACTTTTAAGATGTAAGTTTCACTGGAATTTAAATGTTTTAGATGTTTTTCTACAAATTTGTTTTGTAGGCTCTTTTGGCAGATGTTTTATGTTAAAAACAATTGTCAGTTGAAACCTTTTGGTGAAACTGACCGTTGTGTTTTCACAGTATATAGACGGCTTTAAAACTACGTTTTAAACTAGGTTTTATTTGTATTTTTTCAATTTGTAAATGTAATTTTTATTGTGTATGGTGTAATTTTGTTTTCGTTGAAACTGGATAATCGCTTGGCATTTTGATATAGGCTGTAAATATTTTATAGAACTAGTTTTTATTCCTTTATTTTTTCTTTTAATAATTTTATTCAAAATCTCATATGAAACGAAGCCTAAATTCAATACTCCTTAATTGTTCAGGTTTTAGTGTTTTTAACTCCTTGAGGAGCCTATCTAAAGCATTAAAATATAAATTTTATAAAATTAATAATACTTGAATTTTCACTCATAAAAATTTTAACTAATAATTTATTTAAACTTTATTCAACATGTTTTTTTAAATCTTCTTTGCAATTTGCATTGTACTTTGTTATAAATTTAAGGGTGCTTTTAATTCAGTTTACAGTATTTTCTCAGGATAGTATAATCTGTTTCTTCTAATTTATAAATTTTAAGTTTTGACATATATGAATATATATATATATTAATCTTTTTCCTGTTTTGTTTGTGTTTCAGCCGTCCCCTTTTGATTCTCACGTACCTTTTATGCCTAATGTTTTAAAAGTATTTCTAGAAAATGGTCAAACCAAGTCTTTCAAGTACGACAGTACGACTACAGTACAAGTAAGTAAGAAGCTTCGTCAACAAAGGTATAACTTTTATGCTTAAACTTTATCCTACTATTCTAAATGCACTGTATCTTAATTTTATATTTGCACTGTATTTAATTAGAATACAATTTCCAGCGTGGATGTTGCTTTTTTCATTCTTGTATCTGAAATAATTTATTACAGTTATAATATTGGTAATTCGCCCTCAGTGGTGCCGTGCCATTTGATTGTGACGGATAATAGCGCCGCTGAGCAAAAATATGTTGCGAAAAATGCACAAAGTGCCGAGAGCATTTAAAATAATTTAGGCCGAAAAGTATTTTAATTTCGTGTACATTTTGAATAAAACTCTATCGATTTCGAGGAAGCAAAAGAAAAGCAAAAACTTTTGCTTCTGAAATGGAAGCGACTTGTGTCTGATCGCTTTCGAAATCAATAGAATGTATCCCAAAGTAGGTCGTTTTTCTGTTTAGTTTTAAATTTTACGTGGTCGTGTTTATCTCCCAGTTTCATGTCAGGCTATCTCAAAATATAAACTGATAAAAGTTGTAGTAGGCTAAATGTCAGCTGCCAATGAAATATGGAAACCAAAGTGTGATCATTCTAAAAGCAGCTGAATTTAAAAACTCTTATAAAATAATATTTTTAGCAATACATTGGAAAAAACAGAACAATTTTGATATCTTCCATTCTTAATTTCCTTCTAAGTAAGCTGTTAATAAAATGACAAGTGTTCTCTTAAAGAGTATCAGTATAACTGCTTATCATATTTGTATGGAACCGAAAACTAGCATACAGTTGTTGTTCAAAAGAGAATTTTTTATCCGAGAAATCAGCAGAAGAATTTCTTATTTCATTTCTTTCAGTTCTAAATCCTAAAATCCGTGAAGATGTTACAAAAAAAATGGTTTCAGATTTTAAATTACGTCCAAAGGGACGTTTTTTAACATTTTGTGTCACCTTTATTTATTAAATATTTTGTTCTTCGCACTTAAACCATAAAATTCAGTTCAAGAATATCGCAAAATAATTTTAAAATGAGCCTATCTGTAGAATTTCCGATACACAGTCTAACGCCTGGAGATCAAAATCTTTTTTTTCTGAACAGTGTTGCCATCGCTCACTTTGAAATCCTTGAGTTTGTTAATCAAAAATTCGTTAAAGTTTTACAAAATAGGAAATCGATCATAAAACAAATTTTAAATTTCGGCTTCCAGATGCCATATTCGCAGTAGGATTACATAATTCAAAACTGGATGGCTCCGTTGTTTTATCACAATGCGAGAAACATACATACATTGATGCAGATTCTTCATTATTTAGTGTCTTTAAAAATAATACAGGGCGATAATATTTGGTGGCAACAATCTGAAAAGTGATTCAGACTTAAAGTTTTCGATGCAAATGCCAAAACGAAATTAATAGCTCTTCTAGGCTAACGGCCTTTGGGCTAAAAAACTGGATTGAGATTTTGAGGTTTAGTGATGGCGTAAATAGAATTACTTAATTTTCTTTCTTCGTTTTTGGCTTATTACGTCGAAACTGTATAATTGAGTAACTAAAATATTAGAATTTCGTATTTCGTTTAACCGCAGCAACAGTACTGCGTCGATTCCAGAAAAATCTCCTTTGTATTTTTCTGGATAATGTAATATATATTTTTAGAACTTACCTGGTTGTGTTTTGCGGTGTTATCTGTAGAAATCGCAGTCTATTTATGGTTTTTTTATTCTATCGGCCGACAACAAATATATCATATAGAAAATCATACACATTATTTAAAATTAGAACACATAATATAATGTTATATTTCAGGAGAAAAAATTAAAGAGCATTTTAAAATTACAATATTTATTATCACATAAATTTTACGAATTACGTAATATGATGGCAAATGGCTTCAAATGTCTGCTTGCTTTTAATATTATCGTCGTAGGTTTAAAAATTATCTGTGGATACAGTGAAGCTTCATAACATCATGAACGTACATAGGTGAACATTTCGCCGCAGTGTTCGTCTAGGAATATCATTAAATACAATTATGAAAGTCTATAATACTTCGTCAGCTTCCTTTCACGTAACTTTCTTACTTTGCGTGTCGTCTTCATCTTCACCTCCATTGTTCCTCATCTTCCTCCTCTCCTTTCCCAATACGTGTCCTATTATTTTGTCGCCATCTTGACAGAATGAGATGAAAAACCAGAATTGCCTATATCAATCCAAGGCTTCTTCTTCAATAACACAAATGTTTTTGGAATATATAAGTAAGTCCGAGATGTCTTGATACAGGTACTGGACGTGTTTTAAAATTAAGAGAATCTGTGTCTGGATTTGTCATCTACGAACCTGATCAGAGGTCACAGTTTGCACCAATAGCGACGTAATGTTCTTAGCATCTTTCCAGAACAAAGTAAATGTGGCCACTTTCAGCGCGAATTATTTCTGAAGATCGTGGATACTACTTACAGTTCCTTCAGAAGTTTCTTACAGAGTGGAGTCCCCCAAGCGACCGAGCGGTCAAAACGCCGAACGCTGCTAGTTTCGAACCTGGGTTCGAATCCAGGCGAACGGGCTGACTGCATGGGCGTCTTCGTGGTTTTCCCCATGTGTAACGTCTATACAAGCCAGTTTCCCTTCGCATATGCCCGCCTTCTCTTTCTTAACGTCCCCGACGAAGCCATCAGAAGGCCGATATCTGTTCTGTGCTTTGCCATTACAAACTAAACCAAACAAAACCTTATAGTGCGGATATTTCCTTGGTTCACTGATTGGATAAGGCTTCATACGCTGAGCAACAGAAACATTACGTTGATGTTATCAGCATTTATATCTTTCGATATAAAGTAGTCCATTACATATGTTTTTTATGTCATAGGCCTAAATTTATACTTCCAAAAGTGCCCTTATTTTAATATTGCCGGTTACGAGGATTTTATTGTACCATGTTCCTCAAGGCTTCTTCGTAAACAAGGGTCAGGCTTCTCCCTTCCCTACACTTTTAGAAAACACTGTCAAGTGTCATTTAACAGTGCGTATCTTTTAGGGTACGTGTACTCATTTTGAAGACCGCTGGTCTAGAGTACTGGGAGTACCAACTTGGATAATCGGGGTCTCCAAAAGGCTAGAGTCGGGTCTGTATAAACCGAACATGACTGTATCTTCTTTTTAATCATTGTTATGGTCATCGTTTAAGAATTATAAATTCCATAATTAAAATGGCTTATAAAAAACATAAGCTTCATAGCTTACGTTTTAAGTCAACTTTACAATTACTGTGGGTCATAAATATTATAACATATATAGCAATGTTGTCGTATTCGTAAGAAAAGTTATTCCCTTTTCCATTCCTAAATTCTCCTCTAACGTCTTGGAGAAATATAATAAAAGCTTCTTCAAACTATTCAAAGCGTAATAATTTATCTCAAATTTTGCCGAATTTCTTTGGTTATATTTCCTTCTTTTTCCCCAAATATTTAGATACATACGTAATATTTATCTTGCTTTTCAAACGTACTTTTGAGTTCCTTGTGTATTTACCCTCTGAGATTTTTTGTTACTTACACAAATCATTTATATAGATCATTTTTGTCACTTATATACCTAATAACTTATAATTTAAAATTGCTTACTTTATTTAATGATGAAAATATCATCTTAATGAATGGAAGTTTATGAAAGCAGAAACTAAAATAAGTAATTACTCAAATTTAGCGAATATGGGCTGTTTAAATACAGGTCTTCCTGAACAGATTAAAAAAGCTGTGCTGCTCAGAGGGTTAACGAGAATGAATTCTTCATTCTAAAAAATTCTAAAAATTTCTCAAAAGTATAATATTGTTCTTGGAATTCATTCTTTCTTTCTCATTCCAATAATGTTTTATTACCTTTATTTTCAGGATGTACTAAATGTTCTCCAAGAGAAGCTGTCCATCACTTGCCTGGAACATTTCTCGCTGGTCGTAGAACATATAAAATCTGTCCGCAGGAACAAGCTTTCTATCCTCAGCCCCAAAGACACACTCGCAAAGGTATAAATATGTTCCTTGTGTTTTGTAACCTGCTACCAAAATTACATGGTTGGTGTCGTGTTCTTTCAGAAGTCAAATGAATCCATGCGTCGAAATCACTGCTTTTGCCAGGTCAACTATCTTTTCACTATACAACTCTTCCTGCAAAGGAAATTTCTCCATGCTTTGCAGAGCTGCATGTATTGCCGGACAGGTGAAGATGCATTCTAAAGAAAGCTCCGTTTCGGGAAAGCTTCTACAACTTCTTTATAATCTGGTACCACCTTCATTCATTTTCATTCCTCTAAAATGGCTTGTTCTCAATCTAGTAATGGTCTTTGTGATTACCAAAATTACATATTTTTGATGAATATGCAAAGCTTAGCTTGATGCAAACGAGTGCACTTGTCTTCTTCATTTCAGACAAAGTGCACATTATCCTGGGCTTAATGCAAACAAATTTACTTGGGCCTTCACTTGATACAAACGAGTGCACTTGAGTCTCCTTCATTTTAGTTAAAGAAGTGCATTTGATCCTTTAGTTGCTCTGGGCCTTCACTTGATGGAAACGTTCATTTGAGTCTCCTTCGTTTGAGGGAAAGCAGTACAGTTGATTCTTCATTTAATGCAAAGAGATGCATTTGAACCTTCACTTATGCAAACAAGAGGACTTGAGTGTCCTTCATTGCAGGCCGAGAAATGCACTTGATCCCTTATTTGATGCAAACAAATTCACTAGGATTATCACTTGATGCGAACAAATGCAGCTAAGTCTCCTTCATATTAGGTAAAGAAGTGCACTTAAGCCTTCACTTTATGGAAACGTGGACTTCCGTCTCCTTCGTTTCAAGCAAAATAGTGCACTTGATTCTTCACTTAATGCAGACAGATGTATTTGAGACTTCACTTATACAAACAAATGAACTTGAGAGTCCTTCGTTTAATGCAAAGAAATGCACTTGATTCTTTATTTGATGCAAAGAAATGCACTTGATTCTTTATTTGATGCAAAGAAATGCACTTGATTCTTTATTTGATGCAAACAAATTCACATGGACTTTCACTTGATGCAAAAAAGTGTGCTCGAGTCTTCATTTGGCATTCTTCTTCGCTAAGTAAAAACCAAATTTTCGTAGACTTTTGATTTCGTGTTCTTTCTTTGATATACTATTTTCATTTAAAGTAGCGTCTCCTTCGTTTAACTTGAACTTAATACCCAATCTTTGGCACTGAGCTGCGACTCGCACCTGAGTTCCATTTCGGGCGAAGGCATGGATGGATGCATGTAAATGTATGATGACTTTGCACATGTGGGTATTTAAAATACCGTCGAGCCGTCGAAGTTACTTGGAAAAGTAAGAAGGGAAGAACTACCTCCGCATGTTCTCCAACAAAACTGAGGGGGAACTGGAGTAGCTTCGTACCAGATCAGGAGGATTGATGGCAACAGCAGGTTACCATGATGTGTATAAGAACTGAAAGGCCACTTGGAATTATATATTACAGTTTATTTGAGGAATATATTATTTTTGATGGATGAAATAAGAACAACATTGCTTTGGCTAAGCACCTTGAAAACTCAAGTTTGTGTGTATCATCAAAGTATAAAATTCAATCAGGTCTGAATTTTACACATTGAGGATACGATGATAGTTCCAACGACAAAAAAGAATTCGACCAGCATTTTATTTAGCTATTAAGTACTTACTTTTATTTCATCTGTAATATTAAATAATGAAAAATCTGTACGTTTTATATGTGTATGTACGTTCTTCGGATTGTGGAAAAAAGATGGCACCTGAAGCCCCCAAATTTGAACACACGTAGCCCTCCGCCTAAATGTGTGCATCTCAAATATTGAATTTCGAATTTATTTCTTTATTTCACATTTTTTTGCGAATTTAAGGAATTTTTGATTTAAAAACTCAGTGATATAAAAGCAATATATTCTCACTCGGCAAATCGTCACATATTTGTATTTAAAATTTAATTCAAGGGATATAAAAATGTGCGTTCCCACTCAACAAAAAGCAATATGTTTGTTTTTCGACTGTAATTAAAAAAAATTTAAAAGAAATGTGTTGCCACTGCCCGAATTAAATTATTTTTATCTTTCACGCGGAAGTGTTTTATCGCTCGGCAAAACGTAAGATATTTAATTTTCTTTCGGATTAATTCTGTTAGTAATTGAAAAATCTAAACCATTTGAAAGTAGTAAACATTTATTTTTATTTCTGTTATTTACTAATCGGACTCATGAAATTATTTTAGCTGATTCATTAAAATCATTATATACAGGGTGATACTAAATTGCTTTTACAGATTTAGAGGGGTGATCCAGAGGAGCAATAATTATCATAGAACATAGAGTCGCATTCCACTCTGAGAGGCAGAAAAGAGGAATATTAGAATTCCAACCTGAACTTACAACAGGGTTTAGAAAGCGAATAAACGAGACCAAAAGTTGTGCAATCAGATTTATTGTTTAGTGAAAAACTTACAGAAAGTGCTCAAAAGGCCGACGACGCGTGTCGTTGCACAGTTGACATCGGAAGGAACGACTGGCGCACCCTGCCGAAGATTCCTGATGCCGCTTTAATTTTGTCTGCGATTCTCGCCACAAGATCTTCAGCTGAGTCCACAGACGTCTCGTACACTAAAGATTTCATCTGCCCCCCCCCCAAGAAGGAAAACTCCAGTGGGTTGAGTTCCGGTGAGCTAGGAGGCCAAACCACAGGTCCGCCACGTCCGATCCACCGGGACGGTTATGTGGCATTCAAAAGGTTACGGACCGTGACGGATAAATGTACTAGGGCTCTCGTGCATAAACCACATGTCTCTCTGAATGCGAAGCGGAACAGCCTGCAATAAACTGGGAAGTACTTGTTCGAAGTAGGTACGGTATGTTGCGCCGGTCAAATGGTATGGCATGATGTAAGGGCTTGCCAGGTAATCACCTAGGATACCTGCCCTAATACTTGAAGCGATGTTGTGGCCTTTTTCAAGGCCACCGTTTGCTCTGATTGGCTCTCTCCGGTACCAATTAAGAGTTGCTTCTTCTTGGTGCAAATTTACTTACGGTTAATTCTTGATAGTCTTAGGAGATGGACACTCTCCTTGTCCTTCCTCGACGCGTCTCTACTTTCTTTTCTGCCTCTCAGATTGGAATGCGACCCTATGTTCTATGAAAATTCTGGCTCGTCTGGATACGTACTATCATCCCTCTTAATTTGTGAAAGCAATTTAGATTTACGCTGTATATATATATATATCTATATATTTATATTTATCTTTTTTAGGCAGTTGGCCTTGCAAGTGACCAAATAATATAAAAAACTACTTTTATTGAAAGTTTTGGTTTATTCAAGTTTACTTTTATTCGAGAACAATAACAGTACGATAAAAATTTTTATATAGCATCTCTTTTGATTATTCCTCAAAAGTGTTTTACTTTTAAAAACATGCGTTTACTATTTCGAGTATTTTATTAAATTTATTGTGTGAGGGTATCGATGACCAGTCAACGTTTCACCAGGAACTGATTCAAATATCGGTTACACAGGCCGAAGCACGTAGTGCCATGCTGGTTTCTATGCAGCAGACCTCACTTCGATCCCCATTCATTTACCAACTTCAGTTACATTGCCCAACCTTACTAACAGATGGCGCCACGAATACACCGACAGATAAGCAAACTAACGCAGCTGTCCGTAACAGTTTACTTATTATTTATACAAATGAAAAATCCCATTTTTAATTTGCACATTTTGCAATTTTTCATTGCAGCGAGTAATAAGAGTAGATTTAAAACATTATTTTAATATTATAGCATACGTTTCGTTAATTTTTTTGCATGAATACTATCAAATTATATTTTCATCGTATTGCCGTGTGAGCCATCATGTTCATGACGTGGTGTCTGTTGCAGATCGCGGCGAGGCCCGGCGCCCACCACCTTCGATGCCTTTTCCGTCTCACCTTCTTACCCAAAGACATATACGACCTCATGCAGAGGGATTCCGTGGCTTTCGACTACCTCTTCGTACAGGTAAGTATTATATCTATTTCATTTTAATTCATTTGGAGCGCGGAAAGGCATTCGGCTATGTAGCTGTACGCCGCCCGTATGTGTGACAATTATTAATTTTTTGATTGAATTACGTTTACAAACAGATACGTGTTGTTGTTAAAATAACACGCTGAACAAATATAAATTTAGAAGTCAAACAACAGAAATTAGTGCTATATTTGAAAATTTTCACAAGAATAGTTTCGATGGTTTTACCGAACCATCACCCTCAGCTGCCAAAGTGTAAATGAACGAAATAAGATATTAAGAATGGACAGAAGTTAAGCTAGGCGTTTTACATTCGAAAATATCTTTCTGTTCTAGATAACGACCCTAATTCCAATCCATCTTTACCTTCAGCCCTTAAGAAAACTATGTTTTAATTTTCTTGTTTCATCAATAGATGGCGCCAGTAGCTTAACTTCTGTCCAGCTATTTTTATCTTCTCTCGTTATTTGGCAGCTGAGGATGATGGTTCGGTAAAACCATCAAAGCTAATCCTGTGACAGTTTACAATATAAATCTCCATCGAAGCTAATCCTATGACAGTTTACAATACAAATCTTATTTTTGTTTAAATATAAATCTTATTTTTGTTGTTTGACTTCTAAATTAAATATGTGTTATATTAGTCTTGTTTACATTCACAGCCATACAGGGTACAAATCTCTTGTGTTACAGTAGGTGCCACTTAATGTGATCGCGGTTAATTTTATAATTCGGATATTGCTATTGGATTGCCAAAGTACCACCCTTTTGTATACTGAAACATGGAAAATATATCGCTTATTGCAATCAAAGTTTCGGTGAATATGGTTAAAGTATTATAGAAAAATATTTTGAACTCAAGTAAAGTCACCAAATAAATTCAAAATGTATAATGAAAATTGCCAAGTGGCAGAGAAATGTTGCCAAGTAAAGGATTATGTCATCAAACAGCTTGGTTTCGATTTTAGTCACTTATTTCAAATTAGGTAAGAAAAGGGGCCCGCGGCCTGTGCAGCTGATCTAGTCGCACCGGGAGGCAGAATTTAGCGTGTCGGGCAACAAAAAGGCCTAGCGCCGGTCCTGCAAATAAACAACATGGTTTGTCGTATATTTTCAAGAATTCTATGGATTTTGAGAACAATCAGCTACAGATCCCTCTTCTTCAGAAGTAACAAAATCCTAGAGAATATTTTACCCCTTCATATAAATTATTTGAAAATATCCACGCCAAATTAAAGTTTCTTTGGGGAGGGAAGAGCCTTTTCTTAAGTTTTACATCGACAGGTCCTTTTCTAATGACAGAAGCCCTCCGAATTAACACGCAGAACAGATCAAGTCCTTTGATCTGTTCGTCCATATAGATGTCACGCATGACTCAAAAACGAGTAACCTTAGAACGTTGAAATTTTGTATACAGAACTGCTATAGCATGCAGTTTTGCACCTCCCTTTATGGTTGCAATCGGCCGCTTCAAAAGTCAAAAGTATATATATATATATATATATATACCCACTCTGTTATTCGGTTCAGTGAGCTCGGTTTTTTTATTCTTATATGTTGGTAAATCGTGCATTTTTTGCTTTAAAAATTACTGAATTGTTTTATTCTTATCTTCCGTTTAAGGTTTTTATGCCTTTAGTTAATCTGCATGCAATACTTGTAGAATTATAAACAATTTAAAAGTTGTTTCAGTGCGGCTAAGCCTATTTTTTTTACCGTAGCAGTCATATTTGTTTACATTTGAAACTTAGCAGAATAATGGATTTGTTGCCTATCTAGAGAAACTAAGTTTTCCAATAAGAAAGATAAAGTCTTCTTTAATTATTGCGAATTAAATCATGCTTAATCCATTCTAGAATTATTATTTAAGTTATTAAATTATCTCATATATTGATTCAATGTCCACAACAAATTAAGTCAGTTTCTACGCCTTCAGTGTCTTTTTAGCGAGTGAGACCAAAAGTAAATTTTCAGTTTTGTGCACCGAGAAATCTGCCTTCTTGCACACTGGAAGAATTGCTTGTTTCTGCTTAGAAATTCTTAATTTTAATTGTAAAAAATCGTCTTTTAAATTGTTTTAACTGTATTTATGTTTTATAATTTTCTATATTTTTAAATTTTTAATAAATATATTTTGAGTTTTTGTGTATTTTGCCTTGTCGCGAAGTGGGAACTAAATTAATTGAATGAGAAATATATCTCTAATGAAATTTGAGGAAATAAGTTTAAATGAAATGCAGCAAACAATGCGTATAATTTAATATTCCGTACAAAGAAGTCGCGTGATGTACACATCAGTTCTTTTTAAAATAGAACGAAAATATGGTAACTAATTTTTAAAAATGTATGGATTTATTTTACTTTTTAATAGTACAACCAACTTATGTAAACTTAAATACCTTTAATTTATAAAAGTACCGGATGTTTCATATTGAATGGGGCCGAAAGAAAGCATACCTGTGAATACTGTAATCATTTTATCTTGATAACTCAAATTTACAGTGAAACGATAGTTATCCATGTTTCAACAGATGTTCTATGTGTGCCCGTCCGGTGATACGGCAAATATCTGTGCCTTATTCCAATTCCATTCACACTGGTGGCAATATATCCTTTGTTAATGATTTGAGCATTTCAGTTATCCGCTGTTTGTTGCTGTAAGTCCTGGGGAAATGGAAGCACGAACACTTTGTCTTTGACAAAACACCATAGAAAAAAGTCACAATGAGGATTACGTGGGGATCACGGTGGCCAAAAAATCAATGGCATATCGTTTGACTCAGCACGGTCAGTGAAGCGATGGGTTAGACTATCGTTCAGGTATCGGCGTACGTTTTTACACCAATGTGGTTGAGCAGTGTTTTGCTGCAGAACTGGGAACCGCTTCTTCTGAGGGAACGAACACTGTGATGGCATAACTTAGTAAGTGCACCCGTTCATACAAGTGTTGAAAGTGGCTAAGAAAATGTTCACCTTTGAAGAATCACCCTCATGTGGATTTTGTTTTTTCAGAGTCGTAAATTTTGGCGATTAATTTTGCCACAAACGTGAAAATTGGCTTCATCCGTAAACATAAATCTGCTCGCGAAACCATTTACATCCAGCTTATCTTGCAGATTCTCACAGAAAGCTTTACGCAGCGATTTGCCAAAAGGTTTTTAACGCCTGCGCCATCTGAAAAGTATACGCCCGGAATCGTAGACGTTTTCTTAACACACGGCCACACTGTTACATGAGGTGTATAGAGTTCAGAACTGATGTTGATTTTGTGGGGCTTCGTAAAAACGTTTCATGATGTTTTTCAACCATTTCTTTTTGGGCTGCTGTTCCTCTTAGGCTTGTTTTCTTACACAAGTAGCTCGTGTCCTGAAACCTCTTCACGCATCGTTCGATGTTGTGACGATGCGGTGGATTTTTACCAAATTTTGTGGGAAAATATCTTTGAATGACGATAAACGATGATGTTTTGGCGTATTACAAAACGCTATAAGCTTTCTCTTGCATGAAGGGCGCCATTTTGATTAGCACTCCTTCTACTGGCGATTTCCTAACCGGAAGTTTTTCCCCCGTTGCCAGGTAAAACTTGTGTAATTGTAGTTTCAGAATTAATTTCATTCGGCTTAATAAATCAATTGCAGAATTTGTACTATGCTGTTCCTTTTTTTTCCATTCAATATGAAACACCCTGTACGTCTTTTCAGGAGCATGTCGTTTACCAATGAAGTAAATTATTTATAGGAAAATATTTATTTTTATAATTTTATTCAGTATTTACAATATCGCGATAAGAAACTTTGTGATGGAATGGTGTCATGAATAAAAAAACGGTTAAGAAGCTGTGGTATAGAGAATTCATTTATAAGTTAAGATGAACGTTTTTTCTTGATTGAACATTAAAGATTCTGTTGTGATTATGCAAGACTGTAATGAATGCTTTATTTTTCAGTGCTGCAATGATGTCGTAAAGGAAAGATTTGCACCTGAGTTGAAGTACGATGTAGCCTTGAGGCTGGCTGCATTGCACCTGCAGCAGCATGCTGTCACCAGCGGAATACAAGGCAAAATGGTCGTCAAGGCCATCGAGTAAGTGACCATCACACGCAATCTAACGTGAGAATTACCTGCCCAAAATAATTCTCAAGCAAAGAATGAATCATACAGTCATGAAATGTCTGTAACTTCAATAACAATCTGTGATAATACAATGTCGTAGTCTGTAACTTTGTTGCTGGATCGATGCAAAATTCTTAGTAACTGTTAGTTTCCAAGCGAATGGAGAAAAAGGATTTTGTACTTTCTTTACGATTTTTTAATAGGTGTTAAATGAGTTTTAGTATGTAAGGTATATTTTAATTTTACAGCAGTTATTTTTAATTTTGAAAACCATTTCCTTTAAATTCTTGTTTTCCTCTTACAACTCCCTACGAGAATGAGATTTTAGAGTTGCGTTGAACGTAAATGAGGTAGAGGGATTATTTAAGGAAGGTATTACTTCAGTACGAGAGCTTCGTGGTGTAACGGTAGCATGCTCGGCGCGTATTCGAGAAGTCCAGTTTTGAATCCCGGGGAGAGCATTGCACCAGAAGTGGGGGCAGCCCGACCCACCTAACCAAATAAGTTAGTCTTATGGTCATAACATGCCACGCCCAGGAGTATATGAGGTATTTTCCCCTCCTTTTTGCGTGCCTTTGTGGTGTAATGGTAGCACACTCGGCGCGTATTCGAGATGTCCCGGTGAGCATATTTCGCAAACGCACATCAGCGTAGCCACTGAGGGAGGAGTTTCGAAAATGGACGAATAAGCTTCTGTTGCTCTTGTGACGCTAAATCTTCCTGTATGTGAGCGTATATTGTTTACATTTCAATTTGCATTTGTTTCGCAGTTATAAATGTATGGCGTAATAGTAAAAGTGCTTTCGTTTTACGAGTTTAATTAATCGCTGATATTTCACTTTTGCGATTTTTATCACGCATTAATATTTGGATTGATGTTCACGGCTATTATCGCTCTTTACATCGAGAAAATGACTCAGGCTACAATTAGCCACGAGTATTATGCATTTACTAACACTTGTGGATTAAGAGAATTCAAGTGTATATATTTTTTTGTAATTGAGCTGAGAAGGACTGGAAGTGTTACAATGAATCTAGTAATCTCTTATTTCCGTGCTTGCATTCTTCTGATTTTTAAAGTGTAAAATTCAGAATACATATTGTGTATAACCTGATTATACCATTGTTAACAGTAAAAGTTATATATTAATAAATTGAATATATTCGTTGTGAATAAGATAAATTCATTCTGTTGAGTATTTGAGTAGACAGTATATTTAACATTGAGCAGTTATTAAATGTGAAATTTAACTCACTAAATGTATACGAATGCAAATTGGTAAAGTTCACTTTGAATAAAATTCTGCATTGGCTATTATTATAGAACATCTTTTTCATATAGACTGCAATAAAAAGTGCTGACTTCTATATATAATTGGTGTAAATATTTTTCTCATATGCACAGTTTTATGTAAAGATAGCATTTGGGCTCAGATGTTAATTACATATTTCTTTCTTCATCTTATTTACCACTTATTAAGTAATATTTCACATGGATATTTTTGTGGAGTGTCCAATATGGATTTTTTATTTATTTCAGATGCTTTCGACCAGGTAGTGAAATCTTCACAATTGCTTATACTTGATCTAACTTCACAGTGAAAATTTTCAGAACAAATCGACGATGCTTTAATTATTTTGTACAGAAAAATGCGTGGCAAAATAGTTTCAACCATCTTGCTTAAATCTTAAAGCACGCGAAGGGTCATGTGACATGAAAAAAATATTACTGGATGTCCATCCTAGAAGCCACTCCCTCAGTGGCTACACAGATGTGCACTTGTGAAATATGCTCAAGGCGAGGGCATTGCACATTTTTCATGTCCTCTGCTTTAAAAATAACTTAATGACTCTACAAGTAATTAATAAATAAATAAAATTACTGTCATATAATGTCTGTAACTTAAATTACAATCTGTGATAATACAGTGGCGTAGTGCTTTATTGCTAGATCTTTTTCGATTCAAAATTTTTAATAACTGTTAATTTTGGAATGAATGGAGGAAAAAGAGGTTTACACTTTGATTAACGAATATTTTCATAGGTGTCAAACAAATGTTAGTAATCAATCAATAAATATAAATAGATAGGCAGTTTAGAAATAAAATCAAACTAAGAATATTTGGTACTTTTCGGTTAACAATGTCTTTTTGGCGCGAAATGTAACTGCAGATAAAAATACCAATCCTAACAATATATAAAAAGCTTCATGGAAAGAATGGCTATTTTATTAAATCCAAAATAAACACAGAAAGCAAGGAAAAAAACAGAAGTTCACAAAAAAGCACATACGTAATTACATAAATGTACAGATGTGCAGAGATTCATTTCAAATTCATTTGACAGAATTCTACATATCTGAGCATTACGAAGGATATTTTCAAAGTCCTAAGACTTAAGGTGTATTTTTTTTTTTTTTTTTTTTTTTTTTTTTTTTTTAATTTTGTCAATTTTCATCAAAATGGCTACTGCATTTTTTCAGCGTCATCCCCGTTTTATGGCATGGTTAAACTCTCAAGTCAAACATCCCAAAAAGGTCTTTTTCAAATGCTGAAACCGGGGGGCGGGGGACAGAAATGTGGAAACGGAGTACTCCCTTGCAGACGATGAACAATTTCCGAAGTTTTTCACACCCTCGATCCACAAAAGGAAAAGTCTGATGTGCACTTTACATGACTTCCTTATACGCCCATTAAATTATACGCATTTTTTGCTGTACTTCATTTATTTCCTCGAATTATTCTAGCTTAATTAACTGATCCCTCAAGACAAGTGTAAAGTGACATCAAAAACTGCATATTACAAAATTAAATACCTCGGTTAATTTTTGTCGTATGGGAGTCAAACTTCTTGAATTTTTAAGTTTTCGCAGTGAATATAAAATTTTCCCGAATATAAGTACCGGGAGACCACATTAAAAGTCAAGTTTCGTTATTTGTTCAATTTTTTTTTAATTTAAAATTGTGAAAACATGAATTTTAACGTCATTCAAAATACTTTTGTAATTGAAAACGTATGTCTTCGACAACGATTGCGCAAATAAAGCCAGTTAAAAATTTTTAAGTAAGGGCAGTGAGTATTATATGTATATATGTGTGTGTGTGTGTGTGTGTATGAATTGATTGTGTAGATATTGAGATGTTGATCCATAATAAACAGCAAATTTGGCAACCGAGCAGATTAAACATTTTTATTTCAGTTGCCATTTGCGGCCACCAAAAACTTCTCTTTTCCAGAGTATTTACATTTTCGATATTGTTGCGATAGAAAGGAAACAGCGCGCCAATGTCTTAGGGGCAACAGATGTAGAAGCAAAAACGCGTAATTAAAACCAATATAGAAACTTAGCAATAAAACGTTTGTAGAGTCACTAGGGTATTTTGAAGAAGGTAACATGAAAAATGAGCAATGCCCTCGTCGGTATTCAATCCTGGACCTGTCGAATACGCGCCGAGTGTGCTACCGTTATACCACGAAGACATGCAGAAAGGAGGGACAAAATACCGTATAAAGTTTCGGTTCTCGAAAATTTGAGTTCCGAATTAGCTATGCCATCATCATTACGTAAAAGTCATATGATCTGTATTAATCTAGAAATGACGCGTTCCAGAAAAAGTTATAAAGCAATTGTTATTTTTAGATCAGAGAGGAGAAATACCAAATTAAAATGAGTTATTAAGAGATTATTGCTAATTTAATTTATAATGTTGATTTACATATTTTTTCTTACATATATATATTAGTACTTCCGATTGCACTAAAAAAAAGAGGTTCACAGCTTGATGTTGCGTATGCAAAATTTCAACGTTCTACGGTTTTTTAGTTTGCGAGAGTAAGTACGTATGTACAGACGTCACGAAGCAATCCATTTTAGAATCTGTTTTGAAATAAAGAAGGGTCCTTTATTCGATCCGTACGTGCAGGCGTCATGCAAAATAATCATCAAAATGGATTATTCAATAATCAAAATGGATATCAAAATGGAACGATTAAAATGGATATTTCCGTTAAAATTTGAAACCCGAAATTTTTCTCGATTATAATGCTTTCTTTACTTCGTAACGGGAAGTAAAAATCAGAGCTCCTCGCATCTTCCATGGATCAAAAATAGTGCTATCAAACTGCGCTTCTATCACTCAAGCAACTGAATTGAACTAAACAGTATTGCACGGGGAAGCTACATAAACATTTCGAGTCTCTGGCAGATAATACTGCCAGTAAGTTGTAGGGATTGAACTAGAGCTCAATGCTTAGAACTTTAGAAACACCCTATGTAAATAAATCAAACAATTGTTCGAAAAGGGAAACACGAACCTTCGAGCCAAGATCTGTTCTTTTAATTTTTCTTTTCGCGACACGATCTTTCATTTTAGCGCCATTTAAAGTGACTCAACTATAAATAAATTACAACTTCATTGTAGAATTTTCAACCAATGAATTTCAGAATGAAAAATACCGTTATTCTAGAATATTTTAACCGCCGCTCTTTGTTTGTTTGACAACTCCCAAACGCTAATATGCACAGATTATTCGCACAGATTAATCAAAGCACACATTATTTAATTTACGAAAGTACGCAGAAATATAGATTATTTTAAACCTTGTAAATAAAACTGCAACGAATAACTTCATCATTTTCTGAACAGGTTATAAAAATGAAGTGGCATTTGTAGCGGATTTTAATTATTCCGATATAAAATCCATGAATTGTTACACAAAATATGTGTATGTTATTATGCATTATATTATTTTTATCAAGTTGTACATATAATGCTCCAACAAAAGTGAATTATAAACTCTTATTAAGTATGTTAATTGATTTTTATTAGACTTGTTTGCAATTTATTATCTTCAGAACATCCGTAACAATTTTCTTCTTGCTGCAGGCGAGAATACGGCCTCGAGAAATTCGTTCCTATGTCATTGCTGGAGACGATGAAAAGGAAAGAGTTGCTCAAGTTGCTGAATCAGTTGATGAAGCAGAACCAGGCCTTGAGTGGCCCCGGACAGAAACAGCTGACTGCCACCCAAGCCAAATTTCATTATCTGAAAATAGTCAGCGAACTGCCCAGCTATGGCGCAAAGTCTTTCCCAACTTGCACCAAAGTAAGTGGATATATACCTTCGTGATGAATCATAAAACCCACCTTGCTAGACCTACATCTAAACTGGTGCTTAAAAAGTCTATTTCGTTTTGACTTTTATAAATTCTGAAGTAATTTGAAACTAAATCATTAATTTAAGATCTTCAAACCTCGAGATCTGTCGCATAATTGCCGAAGTTAATCAAAAGACATTAAATTTTAATATTAAGCGAAATATCAACCTTAATTTGGCGTAGATTTTGATTAGAACTCTGTCAATCTTGACAGGTTCTTGTTGTTTTTCAGGGGACAAAGAAAATTGAAAATTTCAGATTTTAACGGTCGCCCAAAAGGGTTTATTAAGGTTTTACTGTGCTCTCACTGAGCCCGCAGTCTACCAGTCTGGTATTGCACTCACTCCAGCTAACCCAATTCGTTTTGTCTTTTCGCTTTATTACTAAACGTCATTTTCTTCGCACTTAACACCATCTACAATTCAAGAGCAAAATTACAAAAACTTTAAAAGATGCTTGTGTTTAGAATTGCCGATGAAGCTTTAAGTGTTGTACATTTTTCTATTCCCTCCTATCTTTTTTCAGTTTATTATATCAAGCTACAGTTTTCCTAGTAACATAGCTTGCAAAACCTTTTTGGTTTTTTCATTATTCCTGCTTTTTGTATTAAATTTATTAATTAAATATGTTCTTGATTCTTATCTTGATTCACTCTCCGCTTCTAATTTTATTCATCAACGTTATTGTTAGTGAGCGGTATGTCGTAAAAATGAACAAATTCAGTTCAGCGAGTGAAAGGTTCTGATCTCATCCAATAAAAAGAACGGTTTCGCCCAACTTTAATTTGCAAAAATTGTAATTTTTTTAAAAGCTTAAGAATTAATTTTGGCATACGTATTATGATTATATTTGCCTTAAACTAGGACTTAACCCATCTTCGGTAGAATATAAATTCCAGTAGATGAACAGTTACAAATATGATTTGTTGGCATTATGGAAATTTATATTTTTTATGGAAGGTGGAAAAAATAATGCATCTTTTAATGAGTGTCAATAATTGCAATGGAAGTTCGTAACTTGAATAGTTTCTTCCTCTTAAAAGTTAAATAAAATTATACGCAGTTCGCTCATATAAAAAAAATTGTTTTCTGTGTAATGAGATTTAGAAGCAGAGGACAAATTCCAAGCTTTTCCAAAAATAGTACCCCTTATTATTTTCAGAAGACCTCTTTTCTTTATTTTTTGTTAAAATGTAACATTGTATTTTCTTGGAAAACAAAGAGTTTATTTTTGCGAAGTGAATACGCAGATGTTTCTATTATCTCAAGAAACTTCTAGGATTTTTTTGTCTTAAACCGGAAAAGTCCAGGTACACTGAAATAGAAAAGAGCAGTATAACATCAAAAAGAGAAATGAATATATATTTACTTATTTATTTGGATTATTGTGTATTTTTTTTCTTTGGTTTAAAATGACAAATGATCAAAATGCTTTCCTGAAATATACATTATTTGGATTGAAAACGTATTGTAAAGCTAGACCCACTTAACTATTAACTATCTTCCTATGCTTCTAGCAACTTTTTGTTTACTCACTTAACTAGATAGATGTGTAGAATTTCAGATGTATAGGTAAAACGTAAAACTCAACTAAAAGGTTTTTAAGATTTATTTTACCTAATGCTTCATTTCTTATGCTCTGGATTGCTCTTCTACTGTTTCGTCTACTCCACCAACATATAGGGTGGTCCAAAATTATTGAGCAAATTTCATCTTCGAAAAAAAAAAAAAAAAAAAAAAAAAAAAAAAAAAAAAAAAGAAGGTACGTGCACGTTTATTGGTTTCTTGGAAAGACACTTTCAAACAGTTTTACACAAATTTTACTTTCCATGTTTCTAGCTATGTTAACCGTCGTAACTGTCCGGATCTGGGGAACTAATAAATCTCCTCATGCAGTAACAGAAAAAGCACTCACTATCCCAAAAGTGATTGTTTGGTACGCATTGGCTCTTCAGACTTGCTGACTGGACATTCCGAATGCGAGAAACATACATATATTTATGCAGATTCTTAATTATTTAATTTTTTAATATAATACAGGGCAATAATATTGGGTGGCACTAATTTGAAAATTGAAACAACGCTTGTAGTGAGTCAACGGAAAATTCCAAAACAAAATAAATAGCCCCTGTTGGCTAATAATGCAAAAAATAATAAGATATAAATATAATAACCCCTTTTTTTAATACTTTTACTCGTGTTCTTAGTCTAACTGTTAGTTTTAAGTTAGCTATGTGCAACTGTTGATATTATGATTACATTGTATCCTGTACATTATATTATATCATAAATAATTTGATACTCTCTCTTGTAGATATTTCACGCATTATGATAAAACAACGGTACATAAAGCCATCGAATTTTGAATGACGTAATCCTCCTACGAATATGGGCATGTGGAAGACCCAATTTGAAATTTGGAATTTGTTTTATTATACATTTCATATTTTATAAAACTTTAAAGATTGTTTGAGTAACAAACTCAACGATTTAAAAGCGAGCAATGGCAACACTGTACAGGGGGAAAAAAACCTTTTTATCTCCAGCCCACGGAACTCTGTATCGGAAATTCTAAAGACAGGCTCATTTTAAAATTATTTTGAGACATTGCTATTGAACTGAATTTTATAGTTCAAGTGCAAAGAACATGATATTTAATAAATAAAGTTAGCACACAAAACGTTGAAAAAAACGCTCCTTTGGACGTAATTTGAAATCTGAAACCTTTCAAAATTTCTTTTTAACATTAAGATGACGTAATGTTACCACGTTTCTAATTTTATTTACATTGATAGCAAATTAATCTAAAGAAAGAAGCTGTTTTATCAGTTTTTGAAGCGACACAATTTCCTCGCGAAACGAAATTAAAATGAAAGTGCAATTTTAATGTTAAAGAATTTGTGCATAGGCTTGCTTTTGCCATTTATGTAATAAAACAATAAAAACGAGAAAAATCTTGAATGGTTTTAGTTAGAATGTTCGATTGTTCTGTATATTTTGAGCGACATTTATCATTTTTCCATGGTCTGTTAATGGGAACTTAGGCTATTAATGGGAATTAATAAAACTTAACAATTTCAAACCGAGCAAAGGCAACACTGTAAGGAATAAAATATTTTTCTATCGGAAATTATAAAGATATGTTGTTTTTAAATATTTGTAGCCCACTGTGGCGTTAGCCCAAATGCTGTTGGAAATGTGCATGTGTCTGTAAATGAAAGAAACGTCTGTTTGGGCATAATATAAAGCTTTGAAATATTTTGTATTTATTTTTAATACCGGAGCTCTGATGTGTTAGTTAAATAGGATATTTTGAGTGTAAATTATCTGCATAAAACCATAAAGATGTTTTGGTAAATTATAAGTACTGTTGTGGTACCAGGTGGCATAATGCTAATCCACGGCAACCGCCCGACACTGGGTTTTATATGCAAGAAATAAGGTTTTATACCCTGTCCCAGAAGATGATGAACAAAATCTGAAATTCAAAAACCCTTCTCAGAAGTGGTTGAGAAACTCCACATATAAATATTTTTATATTCAGTAGAGAATCAAGTTTAAAAAAATAAAAAAGAAAAAAGAATTCCCAAAATATTCTGAGAAGTCATGAAAGGGCTTTGGGAAGAAAACGGTTATTATTCAAAGAGTCTAAATTCTTGGAACTTCGAAAACTCTCCTCTCTCGAGTTTCTTCAAAATCTAGGTAAAGAGGAAAGAAGAAAGTGGTTTGTTTTTAAGTTTCAGTTGATTTTTTGTGATTGAAAATTCAATCCACGTGAAAATGACGTCATTGATGTGCTTTCTGATCTCTCTTTTACAGAATTCAGCCATGGAGGTCGCCATTTTGGTAGGGCCCAGAATTGGCATCAGTCAGATCAGCACCATTCGAAACATAGCGGTAAGTGAAAAGAATTTTTTTAATATTATCCATATCGCAAAGCATAGCAAATTTCCCATTATCCGGATGGCTTTACCAAACATACCGGATGATTGGATTAAAATTGCATACTAATACAAAATGAATTTTGTTTTCGTGTTATTGAAGAGTTATTAAAAAACGGACTAAAAAAACTATGTTAAATAAATTATATATAAATTCAACCAAAAAAAAACCTAGAATTATTATATATCATTCTATTCAATGTCGACAACCATATATTGTAATATTTCCATCTCCCATTTATTTTAGAACGTTTTTTTAAATTTAATTTTTTCCCTTTTAGCCTTTCGCTTCAAAATATTATTTAACAACTCTAAAAAATATTTAAAATTTATATAAAACATTAAATACAATCATGTAAAACATTGTTTAAAAGTTATATAAATATTTTTTGAAAAATTATTTGGGTACTTTTATATATGCAAGTCAATATACATGCGTGAAGTAAAATACATGACCGAATGGAAAATTTTTATAATACAAGACAAAACGGAATATTGGGAATGATTAGGTTAGGTTCATTGATTATGACAAAGTAAATCGAGGGTTATTTGTCTCTGGGGAAGAGATGCCTACGTGGAGGACTTTTTAAGTGAAACTGCTTTATATCCCCGGTACACATGAGGAAAACCATGAAAACTCTCATGCAGCCAGCTCATTTGGAGGGATTTGAATCCAGGATGAACTACCAGTGTTCAGCCACTTCACCACTCCGCCGTTGGTGGTTTATTTGCGATGAAATTGCAAAAATCTTACTGCTGAATTAAATACCATTAATGCATAGTAATAAACCAAAAAACCAAAATATTAACAAAATTTCTTTATTTAAAAATTTTTTTAATTTGAAGCAATATGAAAATGAAGTACACACAGTGAAAGTACCTATATGTGTTACTATAGTGAGGTTTTATACTTTAATTTTTGTTTCATTTACATGTTTATTTCACCTACTTGCGTATTTTCCTCCTAGTGTTTTGGAACAAGAACCTGAAATCTTTTTAAATATTCATGTCTCCTTCCACAAGGCGTTCAGAAACCGAGCTTCCCTAAATTTTAAAATGGTTTTATTCATGTAGTAGTTGCTTTTGTCTTACTAATTGGTTTGCTCGTACAGTAAGGGAGGCTTACTGTACGAGCCCCCCTTACTGTACGAGCTGTTACCTACAGCTCGTACGCCAAAAAAAGGGGGGGGCCAGTTTTATGTCTCCCGTTCTACTGGGCCGATTGACGAAATTTGAACTACGTTTTTCATGTCTCCAAAGCGCGACTTTGAATATGTATTAGATTTATATATAGCACTGTTCTAATTTGAACTACGTTTTTCATGTCTCCAAAGCGCGACTTGGAATATGTATTAGATTTATATATAGCACTGTTCTAATTTGAACTACGTTTTTCATGTCTCCAAAGCGCGACTTTGAATATGTATTAGATTTATATATAGCACTGTTCTAACATAGGTAATTTGACACAAAATCGTACTTTTTCTGAAATAACATACCAATTTTTTTTTCCATATTTCGATTCTACGACTCAAATTATACCTAGATATTAAATTTTGTAATTTTTGGTGGAAAATTTATGGAGAAATTTAAAAATTTATCTTGGCGCATTTTTTCAGTTTACGCCAAGAATAATTCACTTGGCGAACTTCTTAATTTGTAGCAACCTATTTTCCTTTCCCTTCTGTTGTGCATGACAGGGAAAAAAGTTACAGCGTTTCTAGATTTTACATTGTGAATGAGCAGGAAAAACGTCACATCATTTCTACTTTCAAATAATTTTAACAAAGTGCCTAAACCATTTTTAATGTTGTTATCGCTTTCAACAAATATGCCAATTTTCAAAACGCGCCAATATATAAATTCACGTATATCTTTGGAAATTTTGAAAAAAATATTTAATTTTTTTCAGGTATACTTGGAAATACATCTACTTTAAGATGATGGTAAAACTTTTATAGATTATAATTCAAATTTTTTCTCGAAAAATTTATAAAAATTATTTTAAAATACAAAATTTAAAACTAAATCGTAAAAAACGGGCGAATTTTATTTGGAATGAACCTAAATTTCGAAATGTGAAAGAAAGAATCAAATCAGTTTAATAAGAAAAAAGATATAAATAAATATATATCAAATTCAATTAACCACTTGCGCTAAAAAGACGTGCCACGCACGTCGAGATGCTTTTGTCTCAAACCGCGAGCGACGTGAACACCACGTCGATAGGCATTTATCGCAAAAATGAAAATAACGTGGTGCACACGTCGCCTAACAACGAGATTGTTTATTTCTCGAGTTACAGCTCTGGATTGCACTCGCAGACGCAGAGCGGCGTAAATGAGACACTTTACCGCTTGTTATATTGTAGCGCACGGCACCGCAACCGTGAAATTTAGTCGTAGCGCAAGTGGTTAACACTGAGGAGATCCAATTTTTTTAAAACTACTCGTGCGATTTTTACAAAACTTGGCAATTTGGCATAATTTGAGTCCTATAATCGAAAATACAAAGGTCATTTAAAAAAAGTCCGATTTTGCGTCAAAATACCTATACTAGAACAATGCTGTATAAAATCTAATACATATCCTAAGTCGCGCTTTCGAGACATGAAAAACGCAAATTGAATTTAGTCAATTGGCCCAGTAGAGCGGAAGATATAAAACAGTCCCCCCCTTTTTTTGTACATTGATGTGCATTTTTGTACATTGTGTACATTGATGAAGAAATAATAATGAAGAGCTTAAAAAAAAGTGAGGATATGTAATGCTGTTCATGTATCTGAACCTCATTGTACACGGGGGAAGACATTCAACAATGGAGACGGCGATGACTTGGAAACTGTCGCAGACGACACAAACAGTGTAATACTTCTTTGGCGATATGAAGCAACTCCAATGATGGAACACAGCAATAACTTTTATTTAATACTCAAAAAAATAGCGACATACAAACAAGAAGAGAAAACATATTCTAACATTTAAAAAATAAATTACATTCTTCGTGCGAGAGTCGCACGTGGCACTCGAGTCTGGTTTCAAATATTGCCATTCACAAATACCTTAATATTTCATCTATATTTAAATTATTTAAACTACAAGATTTCAATAATTATTTAAAGCTGTTACAACCTCTCCCCCAACGGAGAGACTTTTTCCGAAGAGAAAAGTTCTGTAAAATTTCGACAGTTTATATAAGCTCGGCTTGCTCATTTGCTTAAAGAGAAAAGGTAACTTATCTCATAAGTTTCCAAATTTCAGGCCTAAAATTTTTAAGTTTTAAACAAATATTTTTTACACCACATTTAAGTAGGAAGAAAGATGGAAATTGATCAAATTAGTCTTCCTTTTTTTCCTTGACGGCGACTAGATCTCTTCCATGGTGGACCAGTTCCTCGGCTATAATTCACAGCAAAGCCTTTCCTCAGTTTATCTGTGCCTTTCGGATAATATTCATTGTCATTTGCTTTCGACAATTGTTTTCTTCGTCTATTAGTAGCGGCTTTAATATTAAATCAAAAGCCGAAAGATGATGATAACGCTGCATTGCAAAATGATTCTCAATATTAATTTCTTTACCGTTTTTCAAATTTTCGTGAAAATCTTCCACGTTTAATTCCGGTGATTTAACTTCTTCTTCAAAGATATCTCTGGATGCTTTATTTTCTTCCTTCATCGGTTCCAAGATCTTCTCTTCAACTATTTTTCTTTTCCTCTGAGCTCTACTAGAGACGGCATTAAAATGGTATCACTAAGTTTACGTTCAAGTGATGAACTAATAAAATAAGGCAATTCAATATTAACAGGAAGTAATAACCTGGTATCACTAATATTACGTTCAGTGATGAACTAATAAAATAAAAATACGCACGATTATTCGATCTCGATCGGTGCCTCCAAAATAATTTAGACTGTCATACTTCTTTGGCGATATGAAGCAACTCCAATGATGAAACACAGCAATAACTTTTATTTAATACTAAAAAAAATAGCGACATACAAACAAGAAGAGAAAACATATTCTAACATTTAAAAATAAATTACATTCTTCGTGCGAGAGTCGCACGTGGCACTCGAGTCTGGTTTCAAATATTGCCATTCACAAATACCTTAATGTTCATCTATTTAAATTATTTAAACTGCAAGATTTTAATACTATTTAAAACTGTGACAACAGCAATTCCAGCAGCATTGAATGATTTGGAGACATAGGGAGTAACGGTGGACAACAATAAGAGCAACCAAGATCCAAAAACGAAAGCAGAAATGAAGACACTAAATATTCTAATGTTGGTATTTACTCAGTATTCGTATTGGAATGTGACTTTTAAATTAAATTACTCGCACAGTTTTCCCCTCTCGATTATTGTGATAAAATCAGCAAGAAAGAGGAAATATATATATATATATATATATATATATATATATATATATATGTATATACATATATACACTAGCGGAGGTACCCGACATTTAAGTTAGATTGAGGGTAATACATCTAACAACAGAGAGAACGATACCGCTGTAATCCTTTTCTAATAACGATGAAAAAAATACGATTCATAGTCATACATTTTTCAGTCTGATGCGATATGAAAACCACATAAAAATTTCGATAGAAAAATAACTAATTCTCTCTCATTATATCATACACAATACCACGGAGTTTTTAATGATTTTCGTCTTTCTAATCAAATGATCGTAAAAGCTCGAGTTCCATCCATTTTTTCACCTATATTCATTTTCAGTCGATTAAATGTGGCAAAAAATGGATCATATTTAATCAGAAATCAATAACGCCAACAAACAGACATTCTTCCTTATATGTATAGATATTTAGAACTTACAAATTTTTTATTCAAAAACTCTACAATTCGAAAGCGAGCAATAGCAACACTTTTCGAAATAAAGCATTTTTCCCTCCAACGCCCGAGACTGTTGCCACTCTTAAAAATGG